GCAGGAATTGGCCCCAAACCCTAATGCCCAGCATCGTAAACATCGGTATTATCTAAAAATTTCCAACCTTTTTTTCAAAATTTTACCGGCGACCAAACAGGAAAATCACCATATGACCCACCAACCCACTTACCGGAAAAAGTGTCTTCCAGAACTCGAAATCAGTTTGCGGCCGCTCGGCGATTCCGGTGGCCCAAGACACGAGCATAATGAGCGAACCGGCGGCGAGAGACAGCGTCGAAGTCAGCCATGGATAAGGGTAAGCGTTCAAGACCTTCTTGTTGTAGATGTTGAAGACGACGTTCAAAGCCCACCAAGTCGCGAAGTAAATCCCGATCCTCACCCTCTTCGCCGCATCCGATTTCGCCGCCACCGCCGCCGCATCGACGGGCTGGGGCTCCGATCGGTCCGCCTCGTACGCGTTGCACTTCACCGGAGACTTCGTTCTCCTCAGAGCGATAGCACCGAGGTGCAGAGGCTTCGAAACCGCCAAAACGGCGCGTTTCGGGAGCTCCGGCCCCGGAAACGACAACGATGCCGGAGATCGCCGGAAAAGGCACGATGGGTTCCGCCGGAAAAGCGGATCGCATGCGCCGATCTTCGCCGCGACGGTTTGCTTCACCGATAAAACCATCGCCGGAGAGGGAAAAAAAGGAAGCTTTTTCCGTCGAATAAAATATTAACCCAAAGAAAAAAAAAGCGGAGGCTCTGATCAGAATCAAAACCCTAGCACAAGCTGAACCCAGAATCTGAAACAAGAAGAATTCAGAGAACGAGAAACAAGACGTTTCAATGGAGATCTTAGATCGATCCCAACGCCGCCGGTGTAGCGAAATAAAAGCGAAAGCAGAGCAGAGATCGTGTATATATATATGTGTGTATCTATACACGCTTATAAATAAAGAGAGAGAAAGCTATTGATTTCCAACAGATTTTTTAATAAAAAGAAAAAAGAAAAGAAATTACTGAACATCGTCCCTGACAAAACCACCAACCGTACTTATACGCATGTGAGTGTTCTTCTTACCTTCCCTACGTCTGCGTTGGTGTTCCTTTATACCAAAAAAAAAACAGAACTCGGAAAATAGATTTTTTTTTACTGAGAAAAAGAAAAAATCTATTTCGAAAAATAGATTTTCCTAAATAAGTGTTTCTACCTTATTAAAGAAATTACGTACACGTCTTTGTGTTGTATCGTTTTTTTTTCAACACGGTGCATCCGAAATACGATACGAACTAAGAGTATTTATCATTATGGATGGTCAGTTAGGTTTTATTTGTATGAAAGGCATTTTAATAAGTTATAAGAAAATAATAGGTATTTGAGTAAATATTTTTAGGGATTTGTTATTATCTAAAGTTTTAGAGTATAACATGTAAAGATAAATTCAAGTCGATAAATATAGTAAATATATGCAAATTCTACTTAGATTCCTTATATATGTATTATTTCTAAACTCTATCTACATAATAAATATTAATGAATATAGTAATATTATTCAATAAATATTAACGAATATAGTAACATGTGAATAATAGTAAACTCTACCTAACTTCTTTGTATTCTCTTTATCATCAACTAGTATCAATTTTGGTCTAAAATATGAAGTTTGATCTGAATACATCCGAAAAATATCGAGTTTAGAGTTTATTTTTTATTTTAATTTTTTTTATTCAAAAATATTGAGATTTTTGAATCGAACTCGGATTTTAATCAACCCAAAAATTCGATATAGTTCTTTTTTTTAAAAAATTAATACAAAAAAATTAAAAATTTTAATAGGAGAGAAATTAAACGGGTCGGTTCAACCTGAACTCGAACCCGAGTCTTATAAAATCGGGCCTCGGATTTAGTTGTACAAACCCGAAAAATTCAGATTAATCCAAAAACTTCTGTTGGAATGCAAACTCGGACCGAGATAGACCGACGAGTTGGACACCAATACTGAAACATATAGACTCGTTTCGTAGTCTACAAACATTAAATGCACTGGAATCTTGCTGAGTAAAGAAAATCGAGGACCAGGTTGAGAGAGGGATTTGATAGTAACATTTGAAAATTTGAAGGTCCAAACTTTAACAAAAAAACTTTGGGTTAAATTACGAAATACAAAAAACATAAGGGAACTAAAGCTGAATTTGTATGAATTTGGGGGAGAAATTTCAAATGATTTAAACCTGAAGATAAATCGCATTTCGTTCGGATTTCTGAGCTTCTATAATAAATGTCAACAGTCCTCTTCCCTTGATTCGTCGCCGTCCACAAGATTTCCGGCGACGATGTTCTCGACGAGCAAACGCAAATCCATAGATTTTCTACAGTTTTTTTCTCTTTTATTTTCTCGCACTTCGTTGTTTTTCTCTTATTTTCGTAGATTTTGGCTCTTTTATCTCGATTTAGGCAGTGACTGAGTAAATGTCGACAGGAATTTGACCAAGGATTTGTGTTTTTGTGGGCGAAGCTGCGATATTTGCGGATTAGTCAAGGTAATCGGTACACTGAAGTCGCATAGGAGTGATCTTCAAGTTTTAAGATCAGTTTTTTTTTCGGTTATTGGATTTTGTTTTAGTGTATTGGGGATGCTATTCAGCTACTGCAGTTTCGGTTCTTGGATTCTGTTTCGGTTATGAGCGAGTTGCTTCAATATTTAGTAGCATCTGAGATTTGTGAGTTCGGACAACAACGTTAGGGGTTTCATAATTGCTTCCGATTTATGTCTTTGCAGGAAAATTCCGAGGGACTTGATCTTTCGGGTGCTGGGTCGTCAATTGTAGTTAGCAGTTATTTGGAATGGTAAGGCTATAGCTTGTTGAACTTGTTGTTTATGGCACTTTGTACTGATCGTTCAAGCCTTATGGTAAAGCCCGAAATCAAAATTGCTTGAAAGTTTTTAGCTTTTTTTTGTTAGTCTTGTCTAATGCTCCTTTTGTTAAGAGTTGGAAATGCCATTTTGGCTTCATAGATTTCTGTTTTACAGGAATTGAACAGGTATTTGGGTGTCAGCACTTCCACACCCATTGCTATTGACAAGAGCTCCAATGGAGAATCCTTGGGCATCGATTTCAACATCAGGTAAATCGTATCGGAATTCTAGATTTTGATTTGCTGGGAAAATGCATCTCTTTTTTCAGTTTTTCTTGTTTATAGAACGAAGGTTAATATTATGTAGCTGTCAACTGGTTCTAGTTTCCCGTTGGGATTGTTAGCAAACTTAGCATGTGAGACTTTATTAATCTGCTTTGACATCTTACCAAAAATAATATTCATAACCCCTCCATACATTATTTATAAGAGAAGCCATTAGGATCCCTCCCACAGTGGGTACCTCATTCCAATACAATTTGGAATTGGAGGGGCTTCAGAACATAGGCTATTACTGAATCAGTTTTGCATTGGCCAATTTGGCCTACCATGTTGGCTCTCTCGAAATTTCTGCAGTGTATTGTTCCACCATTAAGATGAAAGTTTCAATGAGTAACTACTAGAGTGAATGAAGGAGGATAATCTTATCTTGTTTTGTATTGGCTTCCATTGAAAACCAATATGTTTTGGTTGCTATATGTAATGATGTGCCATCTATCATTCTTGGACTTTTTTTTTCCAATAGTTGGCAGTATTGGCTTAGACCGTGCAGATCGATGACTTAAGTTGTACTCTCATGTTTTTTTTCTTCTTTTCAGGCATAATGTACAAGGATATCCTTCTATCCGCATTTTCCATAAAGGTAGTGATCTTAGGTAAGAGAACATGGCATTAATGTAGTTGTATAACATATGATCATTGTTCATTGTCTCAATATATAGCATATCCTTCGAGATGAATCCTATCCTACTACGGAGATCGTGATGCAGAAAGCCTAGTGAAGGTGGTAGAGTGTTTCTTACTTTCTTTTGCCTTTCTTTTTTCACGCCCTTACAAAAGGTTAGACATGAGATCGCTCTTCGTATGGTGTCTAAGCTCGTTTCTGAAGCTTCAACAGTTGGATGCTGAATTGAAGGATATGTAAGTATATGAGAAACTGAGATGAATAATTGAGTGGGCTTGAGCCTCCGGGTGTATTATTCAGTTTATTTGGTTATGAACCGTTCTCGTTTCTCTTAGGTTCTCACCATTATCGGGCGGCGTCTTCACGGTTAGTAGAAACCTCTTCATCTGATGTTTTCACGTACTGACATTCTCATCCGTATGACTCTCTCTTTCTTTCCCCGACGGCTTTTCAGGTCGTCGGAGTCTACAACACAATCAAACTGATGAGGTAATGTCTCTTGTTCAACAAATTTTGTCTGACAAAGAACCCTGAGTAGCTGTTATAATGTGATGTCGTTTTGGATATAATTCTGTCAACCACAAAAGCAAATGTCTTTGGAACTGAAATCAAGACAAAATGGAGTTTCAAGTCAATCTTATGTTGAATAGGTTGCAGATTTAACCAACTTTGATTAAAATGGTTATTGTTTTCTGAGCTGTTGTTTTCTGAACTGGGAATTTGTCAAAGTTTCAGGCTTTAGGTACAAGATCTGTTTATATAGAGATGCAACAACACATCATGGGCTTAAATGTATAGCGTGGGTCCAAAAAGTTTAAATTGGAGATGGGATTGATTCCAAGTTGTAATTAATAAAAAAATTTGTAAAAGTAAATGTAAAAATTCACGCCAAAATTTGGGATAGTAAATGGAGTATGGAACCAAGGCATGAAATGAACGGCGAGGGATAGGAAGTCCCCTCTAAAAAGAGATGAGAAGAAGATAATTAGATGGGGGAATATACCCACAAGCTCCGTCTATGGCGGCCACCAACTTTTCAAACGAAACCACCTCTTCTTCACCATTGAAATCGTAGCTTTGCCCAAAACAGCCAAACGTAAGCAAGCAAAAAAAAAAATGTAATTTTGGGGGAAAGAAAAGACAGAGAAGAAGAAACGGAGTGGGCAATTCAGATTTAGGAAATTATTTTTTAAATAGGAAAAAATTTGTAGAAACCCAAAAGAAAAGTTTCTGGCTTTCGACTTTTTTTCCCCCGAGTCTCCTCCAAGTTGGGTCCCCTTTGATTTTTTCAATTTATTTTTTCCTCAAACCCCTTTTTTTTTCAATCGATCTAACGATCGATCTCTTATAGGGGTTTCAATTCGGTGTTTCCTGGTTTCTGGGTTTCGTTTAGGAACCGTTTTCTTTTCTGGGTTTCGTGGATTTTTTCATTTTCCGGTGGTAAATATTCTTCCTTTTTTTCCGGGAAAACTTCCTGTTTTTTTGGGTGAATTCTAGTAAATGTGGGGAGCCGCAGCTGAGCCCGCAGATTCATACTACCAGGTTCGGCCTGAGTGCACCGATGTCACCAAGACCCGATTCAAGATCAAGGTCCGTCTTTGATATTCGTTTTCCTCTTATTTCTTGGATTTGTACTCAGCTCTGTATTTGCCCATCAATGGTGTGCTTTGCTTCGTCTCTGTCATTCCCATGGCGATTACCACGCTCATTTCGAAATTCGGTTCCATGCTGGTGGAAACCATTGATTCTTGCCGCGGCAATTCTGTTGATTCTTCTTAGATTTGACTTTTCTGCAATTAGTTGGGTTTGGTAGATGAATTTTGATCAGAAATAAGACGTGAGACCGTTTAAATGCTTGTGGTTGACTCGTTCCGGAAGCTATGATCCTCTCTTGAATGGAATCAGTGGACTGCTTCATGTTTCGTATTTATGTTTTTTCTGAAGCTGATAAATGGAAGGGGGATTGATTTCTGTTGTGTTTCTCTGCAGCCAGGGAAAACTCTAAGTGTAAGAAAATGGCAGGCTGCATTTACACCAGAAGGCTACCTGGATATTGGCAAGACTCTTGGCAGAATCCAACGTGGGGTAAGACTGTAAGCTTTACCTTGATATATATATATATATATAGTCGTCACATACAGTTTGGTTTGTTGAAACTATCTGGTTATTAACAAGATATGGAGGTGGTCGTTTACGACACAAATCATGTTATATGGTTTAGAGATAAGAGAACTCTTTTAAGTGTTTTCTTATCGGTATTTGATCCTTTAACATTGGTCTAGGGGATCCATCCATCTATTAGAGGAGAGGTCTGGGAGTTCCTGCTTGGTTGTTATGATCCAAAGAGCACATTTGAAGAGAGAGAGCAAATCCGGCAACGTAGAAGGTGAATTATCCTTCTCTTTTTTTTTTCCATTAAGACATTTTCATTTGCATGTCCATGTAAACCATAGATCTGCGTTTGCTTTCTGCAAAATCTTCCTCCTTTTTTTAAAGAACTGTTATTTGCTTCAGACTGCAATATGCTTCTTGGAAGGAGGAATGCAAGCGAATGTTTCCTGTCATTGGAAGTGGTAGATTTATCACGGCACCTGTAATTACCGAACAAGGCAAACCCATTTATGATCCTCTTGTGCTTCAGGAAACAAATTCAGGTGAACGTTACCTTGATTACAGGATAAGCTTGTCTAATGTACCTGCTGTCTTTTTAATCACTTGCTGTTTTTTTTTTCAGGAGCTGATTCCAATGGTTCAGATTTTTTCAAAGAGCTCTCGAGTCGTGGACCGTTGGACAAGAAAACGATTCAATGGATGCTTACGCTTCATCAGATAGGTTTGTGATCTTGGCTTTGGTTTGGTTACCACATATAAAGAAGTTGTGAAAGAAGAAACAAACGATAAAAAGGTTCATTTCTTTTCAAACTTTGCATACTTCTTTAAGATTTTTCTTTTCAAACATTTGATTTCAGGTCTTGACGTAAATCGCACGGATAGAACTCTGGTATTTTATGAGAAAAAGGAAAACTTGTCTAAACTTTGGGATATTCTGTCTGTTTACGCCTGGATAGACACAGACGTCGGGTATTGCCAAGGTGAGTTGTTCGGGCAGAAAAGAATGACCGACAAAGAGAGATCTTTGACCGCTCTAAAGTCAATTCGTTCTCGATCCAAACATTTACATTTCTTGAACAGGAATGAGTGATCTCTGTTCTCCGATGATTATTCTTCTAGAAGACGAAGCTGATTCATTTTGGTGCTTTGAGCGTTTGATGCGTCGATTGGTACTTTACCCTTATTTCTTGTCTGTAATCTAATCATGTCTTGAAACGGCGATTATCTGATATCTTTGAAGGTGGATGATCGGCAGACATATTGGGTCTAGTTTTGGTATTTGATAAATGTGGATTGTTTATACCAAATGTGTTTCTTTTTTTTGCGAAATTAAAAGCGAGGAAATTTCCGGAGCACGGGAAGATCAGTTGGTGTTGAAGCACAGCTTACTCATTTGGCTTCAATCACTCAGGTTATCGACCCGAAACTTCACCATCATTTAGGTAACTAGCCGCTGTTTCTCTTCTCTTTCTCTTTTTTTGATTCCTCCTTAGGATCTTGGAATTAAGCACTGTCATCTGTAGAGAGCAAAACCCGAAATATCTCGAAATTATAGAAGACGAAATTTTCGGATCTTGAAATGCAGAGAAACTGGGTGGTGGAGATTACTTGTTTGCAATTCGGATGCTGATGGTTCAGTTCCGTAGAGAATTCTCGTTTTGCGATTCTTTATACCTATGGGAGGTAGGTTACAGTTTTGGGATCTGTATCATACTCTAACACATTCTGAATATAACTTTCTTGGATCAATCTGATAATATACATATTATTCTCGTAGATGATGTGGGCATTGGAATACGATCCCGAGGCATTTTCTCTGTACGAAGAGGACGGATTCGGGGGTGAAAGAACGGAAGGTTCGAGAGGTAAACCGAAGTCAATGAACCAATGCGGAAAGTACGAGAGAGAGAACATGAAGAACAGAGGAAATGGTACGGAAGCTCCATTGCCGATATCAGTTTTCCTAGTAGCCAGTGTCCTAAAGGACAAGAGCTCGAAGCTAATGACTGAAGCTCGTGGACTTGATGATGTCGTTAAGGTTCTTGCCGGAGTTCACAGAACTCTTTTTTTTTTTTTTGCCTGAATCTTTACGAGATAAGACTTTTATTGCGGCTGCTTAGTTATGTTGGATCGGTGTTTTGCCCAGATACTGAACGACATGACCGGTAACTTGGACGCCAAGAAAGCGTGTAGTGGAGCCATGAAACTTCACAAGAAATATCTGAAGAAGGTTCTTTTGATCTTTATAACCTCACTCTTATTTGTGTTCTAACTCTCTGTCTGCTCTCTGATTGTGTTCTCTTTTATTCTTGCAGGCTAAGAAGCCATAGCAATGGGGCACTAATGGATGATTCTGAATCAGGATAGCCTTCTGTATTTTTTTTTCTTTGGTTAATTACATTGTTCAATACAATGATCATACGACACAAATCCGGTGAAAGGACGAAGGCCAGGGAACCAGAATCGAGATTCTTCTGCTGCTGTTATGGTAACTTGGGACGCAAGTATCCTGGAAGAAGGTGAGAACGAGGAGAGTTCCTCAGAATTGAATCTGGATTCTGAATTATTGTTTCTAACCCCCAAAGATTTTTTCATAAACTGTTTATACAAATAAGTCTGTGTTGTACTATTTTATATATATATAAAAAACTGTTGTTTTCATACATTAGCAGTATGTGCATATATATATATATATGTATGTGTGTATATAGGAGTGATTAGTCAGATCTATCCAAGATTCTGGGAGGAAGTTTGACCAAAGGATGGGAACAGACAAAACAGGAGCTGAAGTGAGAAGCCATTAACGCAGAAAGAAAGCTTTTTTTTTTCATTAAAGACTAAAAAGAGACAACAAGAACAACCAGAAGCTCAAACACATTACAGACCAAACATTTGTCCTCTTAAGTCCCAAACACATGAAACTTAAACCCTTTTTTATTCATTCATTCATTCACTCACTCACTAACGATCCTGCACATCCCCCCAAAGTCCCTGAAACATCTAAGCGTCAGCAGTTTCGGCAGATTCTGCGGCGGCTAAGACCAGCTCAGGGTGAAGCTTTCCGAGATAGGAGCCATCGTCCAATGCGTTCGGCATCCCCAGTGCTTTCAGGGCAAGATGCGCCGCCTTCTGTCCCGATATCATCATCGCCCCGAATGTCGGTCCCTGCATCACCATTTCAACGTATTCAGTCTCATTGGTTGTATATACTTGCAACCCGAGAATGTATGGATCTTATCTCGGCGAATGGAAGAGGGAACTCACCATTCTTGCAGCGCCGTCGATCTCTGCAACTTCCATACCGGTGACAATCATGCCGGGAACAACCTCTCTCGTCAATCTCACGATCGCATCCTCAGCCGAGTTCATGTCAAGGGCCTTCATCCCGGGAACATTGTCGATCATCCCGATGCTCTTCAACCTCTTCACGCCGGTGGCGCCAAAGGGTCCGTCGTGGCCGCAAGAGCTGACCACCACCTTAGCCTCCATAACGTTGGGGTCCATACACGACTGTGTGTCGTGGTTCATCGACACCAGAGCCCAGTTCGTCACGACACCGCCGACCCTGTTTCCCTTGACGATCAAATCCTCTGCAGCCACGGCGTTGAAGAGCTTGACGTTTGGACGAGCCAAGAGCTTGCTCATGATCGTGGAGGTGAAGAGCGCTGCGTGCTTGATCACCACGTAGTCGTCTTGCTCGTCGTACTCGATGTCGAGTTCGTCCAGGAACATGTGTGCCGGTTTGCGCACTACCTGTGTTATACGTATACATTGATCGATTCAGCCCAATCCTCAGAAACACGTTCAAATTTCACGAAATTTTCTTTATGCGGGATCAGAAATTTATCTGGAAACGGGAAAATTGCAATTTAGATCTGAAATTGTTTTTAGATATTTATTGAGGGAGGAATTCAAAAGAAATTACCATGGCGGAGAAGAGCTGGCCGCCGAGCCACGCGCCGCCGCCGGGGCTAACAGACTGCTCGATGATGGCGACCTGAACGTTAGGGTTCTTACTGATCTCGTAGGCGCAGGAGAGTCCGGCTGATCCAGCGCCGACGATGACGACGTCGGTCTCTGCGTAGGTGATCATGTCCGTCATGTACCTGCGCGTCATCTCACGCGACACGATCGATTCCTTAATCGGCGAGAATCGGAAGTTGTTCAGATCGTACGGTGGAGACGAAGACTCCGCGGAGGCACGGACGGAGAAGCCGTTCCCAGCGACGGCTCTGGATCTCAAGCCGACAGAGACAGGAGGAACGGCGACGGCGGAGCCATGGAAGGAGGAATCGAAGAGCCTCTGAGGCTTGGTGGAGGAGAGAGAGATGGTAGAAGCCATAGCCGCCATTGATACCACAGAGAGAAGGCTTCTGGGTTCTGGGGAGTTCGCCTCTTGTTCGCCGGTGACGGTGAAGTGGAGTGCAGGAGAGTAAGCATTTATACGGGGAGAGGCAGAGAAAATATCTGTAGAAGCTATGTTGACACGTGGCGAAAGGATAAGGAATGAAGGGTCTAGAATTTTTTTTTAAATTGATATTTGGAAATATAAGTAGGAAAGTGTTTAATATTACTACCTGCAAGTGGCGTCCATGGAAGAAAGGCGGAGAGGCCGAGCAAATTTAAAAAAGATTTCTACTTTTGAATTTCTTTTTTTAGATTTTTTCCTTATTTTTTGTGGGGAGCTATTTTCGGGAAATATCTGTAACGATGCCATTTTGATTTAGTCGCCTCGGATGCATGTATGTGGTGACGTCATAAAAGATTCTTTGGAACGGTGAAAAATATCTTTAGCGTGATAAAGATGGGTCAGGCCATTGGCTCGTGACTGAATTCAAATTTAATTATTAGAGATTTTTTTTTTTGTGGCCCAAAAAATTTAAACAAACTGTAAATACAACAAACATCAACGTCATTTTAACCTCAAATTTATCGTATATCATTTCGATTTTAAGTTAACTTTTTCGAAATTCAAAACAATTTTAAATTATAGTTTTGAAAACAAATTCAGAACCAAACCGATCCATTTCCGTCCCGAACCCGAACCGTTTCCGAAAACAGCCACCCTAGATCCCAACCAAGAACAAACAAAATGGGTCGACCAGACTCTGAACCATCATTTGAGCAGCCCGGCCGCCCCCCCTATCCTATCTCTGAAACATCAATGTGAATTTTATGACGATACGTTAGGATTTCCCTTTCATAAACCTTACCATCGCAAAAATTCCCGTGATCCATTTTAGCAGTTACACTGATGAGAAGGAAGACAGCATAAATCTATCCATCAATAGGTTACTATTAAACATAACGGCTTTAACGAAATATTTAGTTCAACACACACACACAAAAGTTATAATAATGATATAACCTAGAAATTGAATCCCATTTTACATTAAGGTGAAGTCATGGAGACATAAGACAATAAAACTCGAGTAAGAAACAGAGCACGAAGAAGATGATGGTCTAAAACCCAAACAGCACATGACAAAAGAAACAGTTTCTGAGGATATATATTAGGGTAAGAGAGCAGCAGCAACCTTAGTGATTCTGAAACAGCTCAGAAACCATGGATCTTAATGTTGTCCTTCTTCACCAGCCCAGCCTGTTCCATTATAACCATCCACCCACCCATCATCATCATCATTCGTCGGTGATTCATAAGATCATCCGAGTTAGACTAGAGGAACGTTGGAATCTCGCAAGCAACGATAAGGGTCACTGGAGAGAATGAGATTTACCTGAACAAGGAAGGTGGAGACGTTCTTCCTCTGGTCACCTTGAAGCTGGATAACCTACACCATTCATAGAGGAGAAACCCGCACGGATTTTAATGTATTGATATCGCTAACGATTGATATCTTTCATTTAATGAAGAAAAAGGAAATCCTTGACTTGACAGATCCAACTTTTGAGATCATGTTACTCTTTGATTATGCCATCATCTTATTTGTAGTTTACTGTTTGCCACTATCCTTCTTCATATCAACTCGACAATTGTTGCCATTAGAATCCTAGAGATAGAGAGAGAAATACCCATTTGGCACCATGGATGATCCATGGAGTTTTTTAAAAACTAACCTGCCCCAGTTCAGGATCCTGAACCACAGTGCCGTTGCAGCAAAATTCTTTCTTAAGGTCCTTAAGTATCTTGCTGTAGCTGTACTCTTTCTTCAGCCCCTGCACAGTTGTCAAGCTTTTCCTACCATTCCGCTGCTGAACACGGATGTGCACGTACTCCTTTGATCCGGCACCTGAGTCCTCAGCATTCGCATCAGCAAACGGATCTACAACACCCAATGAAAAACCACAGGTAGGACCATTAGTGTCTACGAATACCAGAGTGAGATATCAATAAACACAAGAAGCCTAAACAAAAATTTGATATTTACAACTTGTTTTAAGCCGTAAAGAGTTCAGAAGCTATGTTCTAGCCAGCGTTTCCCAACAGATGAAATGACTTGAAAGTTCAAAAAAGAAATATATAGCGCAAATGCAAGAAGCTCTGAGGAATGAGGATCCCATCCCATCATAAGTGCCCGTAAAATGAAAGCATACCGAAGGTAGTAGGAATCTGGGTGTCAATCTCAGACATGAAACTCGGTTGATAATAGGGGCAAAGAACAGGAATCTGAGACCTGCACAAGAAATGGAACAATAAAAGGGGTAAATCGAAATAAATTCATTCCTGGAGACAGTTAAAAGGGTTCTACATGAAGGTTAAGGAACTGATGGAGACATGAGGGAAAAACATTTCCGTCAACTCTTTCCAAACACAATTCATTTCATACAGAACTCCAATGACTTGGAACTCCAGAAATGTATATAGAGCCATAATCTACATAACAAATAACAAATCATAGGCTCAAGAACACCACTTCTTCCTCGGAAAACAGCTGAAATCACATGCAACAGTTAATCCTCAACTCAGTCACACAAAAGACGGCATGGCTACTATGATATTTCATGGCCATACGGAGATCAATACATGAATAAAGATAGTATATCATAAGGAAAACTGCAACCCATGGCCAACGAAGAAATCATCTCCAGATCTTTTTTCATCTCAAAAATAAACATCCAGACTGGAATATCGACAAGGAAGCAGATCGAGTATACTACCGAAACTGAAGCACTCATCAATCAGACCATTAACACAACAAAAAGCAATCTATTGTCACCTATACAAGAGAAAAACAGATAAATACAGATTTGTAAGATATATCTATCACCTGGTCAACCTGACCCAGATCACTCCCTAGACGGTAAAATAATCCATAGAGGAGACACTAATCGATCAATTCCGTGTTGGAATTCGACGAGAAACAAACAAACAAAAAATCTGTCGAAGTCAGCCGCAACAAGTTCCTGGATCAGAGACTATAACAACAAAAGCATCCACAAAGACCATGCAAAACTAAGTTTAACCAGAAAAAATCGAGACGAAAAAAGGGCAGATGCGATTGAAAATCACAGGGAAGAAAAAAGAGGAACACGAATCAGATAAATAAAATATATACCTGATCCGAAGAATAGGGTTTCGCGGATATTCGGGGGAGAGGGAAGAACCAAAACCCTAGGATTCGGATCAAATCTGCTGCGACTCCTCTGTTCGCGATGGTGAGAAAAGACGAGAGGAAGAACCGCCGAGCGAGATACGTTATTTTATCAAAAAGAGAAAGGGACAAGGAAAAAGCCTACGCTGTTCCTTTTTTTATTTTATTTTTAAATATTTAATTTATTTGATATGGAAATAATCAAGTTCGAGGCTCGAGCCCCAACGTTTCACGGGCCAGACATAAGCTTGAAACATTGGGTTCATAACCCAACTATTGGGCTTCAATCGGGTTCGGACCAACTCGTGGGCTTTTACAAATAAATAATAAAAACGAACCATAAATATGAATCCCATTTAAATATTTACATAAAATATCATATAAGAGTTTTACATCCGATAAATTCAACAACAAACCTATAAAAAAAAAATGATATTTCTTGAACTCAATTTACATCGGATGGACCAAGAACAGTATATATACATATAATTTTTAAAATAATTTTGCATGTAATCGACGTGTCGAGTTGCATGCTGGAGAAGCAACACCTATACAAGCAGACTGGCAGGAAATGACAAAGGCGACGGACCTTAGAGTAGGACAAATATTTTTTTAATGGATCACCCTGGTTAAGTTTTGAAAATTATGGAAAATAAAATTAAATAAATAGAATAAAGCTTTTATCGAACACAAGATCTGCAAATTGAAAGAACATCACCACCATTGAAATCACGGAAAAATAAAAGAAATGGAAACAAATTTTCGTTGTAATTATTAATCAGATAAAGAAATTATTTTTTATCACGATTGGTAGAAAGAGAACGAAAAGTAGAAAAACCAAATCCACCATTCATAAATTCTAACTAAATTCAATCTTTTAAATATTATTTTTTTCAAACACGGTCTATCTAGAATTTTCTATTCAATAAATCAAATTCACATGTAGATTTTTTTAATATATATACAACCATACGAAACGCTTAAAACTCGGATAAACGTATTGATTTGGCAGACAAATTACATGTATAGAGAGACAATATTAGTCATGAGTAATGGGAAGAAGATATACGATTGCTTATATATTCTCAGTCCTTAATTGTGTGTAATCTCATATAGAATGATTTCTTTCCTTTTGTAACAAGTCACATATCTTATATATATTCCTAGGGTTACTACAATGAAATATTATCAATACATTTCTCTATAATGAGTACACAAATGATCTCATGAGTTCTAACACGCTCTCGCCATGCACTACAAGAAAAACTGTAATTTACGACAGAAATATCTGTCACAACATGAAGAAGAATCTGTCGATAAAAAAAATTTGCGACAGATTACGACAGATACTCATCGGTCGCTAAATCGTTGTCGCAAAATCTGTGTGGTCGTGATTCTGTCGTAACTTTGCGACAGACAGATCTGTAGGTAGTCGATCGCACATATACGACAGATGTCTATATGTCGGTAATCTGTCGCAAATCGGTGAATCCAGATCTGTCGCATATTGCGACATAAATAGGAGTAGGTATTCGGTCGTAACCTAACGACAAAATCAATCGGTCGCACTCTGTCGCAACTTAACGACCAAATATATCGGTAGGTATTCGGTCGTAACATAACGACAAAATAAATCGGTCGCAATCAGTCGCAACATAACGACCAAATATATCGGTAGGTATTCGGTCGCAACATTACGACAAAATTAATCGGTCGCACTCTGTCGCAAATCTATTATATAATTTTTTAAAAATATATTAATAAATAATAATTATTTAAATTAAATTAAATTTTAAAAAATAATTATAAAAATATAAAATAAAAAATATTTATTTAAAATTAAAAAGTATTTATTAAATAAAAAGTATTTATTAAAAACAAATTAAACACTAAACAAAAAAGTTATCTGGATTGTCTGATCCGATTGTTTGGTCCGCCGGTATCGTAGAAGGTCCGACTCCGGGCTCAGATACGACTCTGAACTGAGGAGTCAGAAATGGGTTGAACGACATCTCTTGCACCGTTGGTGAGTCGTCACGAGGAGAAAATAGCCGGGCGAAAAGCGTCTCATAACGCGCAATCCGTGCCTCAGCTTCTTCAAGTCTGGCAATCTTCCTGCGATCATCCTCGAACTCTTGAATCTTCTTCTTCAACAGCTCGACCTCCTTAGTGAGTGAGACGTGGTGACCGATCGATGTTGCATCCGGATGACCACCACCCAACTGAGTCGCCATTGCACCGACGCCGTATATACATCCTTTGGCATCCGGTTGGACAACCTACGAAATAAAATATATACGTCAATTAAAATAATTTAATAAAAAAATACATCAATATAAATTTACCTCCAGATAGAGACTGTTGATTTCTGCTGGCGAAAGTTGGTCGACCCACAACTCTCTTCTAACTGGGAGAGACGATCGGTGATCTTTGCCTGAATCGCATCCTCGATTTCCTGAACGCGATCGCTTATATAAGTACCGTCAGCTCGACGGTGAGTCTCCTGCAGCAATCGCAACGCGACATCTTGAAGCGGGATTTGTTCATCATTTTCTTCTTGAATAATAGTTCCCCTGGGGTTTATTTTCACGACGGCTCGCCAATCAATGTCTGACCTTCTTGTAATTTTCTTCGGATAAGGGATGTAACACACTTGATCTGCTTGAGAAGCCAATATAAAAGGATAATATTTTCCATATCGACGTATGTAACATATGTCAAAAACACCTGTTTTGTTGACTCTGATCCCTCGTATAGGTGTAGGATCAAACCAATCACACCTGAACATCATCACTTTGAGTCCAAAATGACCTGCATATTGGAGTTCAAAAATCTGCTGCAGTAGTCCGTAAAAATCGGGTTCATTATCAGATGCACAGTACTCTGACCCTTTCATACAAACACCAAAATTATGTGTCGAACGATGTTGTCCGTGTTCATGTGTGTGGAAAACGTAGCCTCTGGTAAAAAATATAGGCCAATATGTAACACGACAAATGGGCCCTTGAACTAGCTCATGCAACCACAATGGATGATCTTCTGGTGACGTTCGAATCTGCAAAAACAAAACAAAAATTAGGTTGTTTAAATATCAATATATACTTGATCGATCTTAAAAATTGGTTTAAATAAGAAATTTGATGCAAAATTCTTACATATTCTTTTAACCATGTAGCAAACCATTTTTCTTTTATTTTTGTCAACTCCTCGTTACTTATGTCACCGTATATGTTGTATACTTGTTCATCAAAAATCCTGCAAAATAAAATGAAAAAAACTTGTAAATGAATTAATATCAAAAAATTGTACGCCATAAATAATTAAATGTATAAACGAACCTTTCAAAAGGTAGTACTTCTTCGCAATTCAACAATACAAAAGTATGTACCACATGATAGTCTTTTTCAGATAAGTAGGCATCGCTGGCCTTACCACCACATCTTCCTTTTCTGTTAAATATATGAGGAATATTTGCATTCGTCGGATAACTAGGGCCATCATCGCAATAGGATGATTTTCTTGTACTTCTGCTTTTTGCTCCCACATTATCTTCAAAATAATATGAGGTAAAGAATGATATTTCCTCATTGATATACTGTTCAGCAATTGATCCTTCAACAAAGGCTTTTTGTTTTGCCTTTTTCTTCAAATGGTACATAAATATTTCAAACGGGTACATCCACCTAAACAAAATATATAATTAAACAATCATCAGTTATATAAACAGGTATGCATATATAAGTCTTATATATTAATTAAACGAAACACAGTAATTAATTATAACATACCGAAATTGAACTGGTCCACCAAGTTCTCTTCTCGTGGTAGATGGATTGGTAAATGTTCCATCACATCAAAAAATGACGGTGGAAATATTTTTTCCAGATTGCAAATTACCAGAACTATGTTTTGTTTCAGCATGGTGATATCTTCAAGTTTAAGTTTAAGCGTCCGACTGCAAATCACCCGAAAAAATGAGCTGATCCCTGCACAACAACCACGTATCAAGTTTATATATATATATATATAGTTCACATATTAAAAAACAACATTAAAAAAATATATTAACCATACCTGATAGACTCTCGTGTACATGTTGTGGAAGTAGTTCTGCAAATGCTATTGGAAGCAATCGTTGCATAAAGACATGACAATCATGACTTTTCATACCCGTTAATTTATTCCCTGCAATATCAACACATCGCGCCAGATTTGAAGAGTAACCATCGGGGAATTTGACATCATCCTTCAACCACCGAAAAAAATTCTTCTGCGCTTCTCCAAATACACGAAAAACTGGAATCGTGCCTTCCCATCTTGTGTAAGTTCCAACTCCTTTCTCAAACAAATTGATTTTATATCCTTCCTTGAGTTTGGATTGTCCTTCGACTTTTGAGGTACATTCAACATCGTGTTTATGATGTTATCGAAAAAGTTTTTCTCGATATGCATCACATCAAGATTGTATCGCAACTTGTGATGTCTCCAATATGGAAATTCCCAAAATATACTTTTTTTGTTCCAATTATGATATTCGCCATATCCTTGAATCGGCAAATGACCATTTCCACCGACTTTTGCAATAACCCCTAACCCATATGATCTCACACACTCTTCAATCCGTTCGAATAATAATTATTGTCCCGTCAGTTCAAGCGGACTAGAATCACTTACCACGCGATTCTTACGAAAATTCTTCTTGTTTCGGCGCAATGCATGATTCCTTGGTAAGAAACGACGATGACAATCAAACCAACTCGTTTTTCTTCCGTTCGACAACCAAAATGCGTCGGTCTCATCCATACAGTACGGACAAGCTAGCCGACCATGCGTTGTCCAACCAGACAACATCGAGTATGCTGGAAAATCACTAATTGTCCACATTAGTATGGCACGAAGCAAAAAATTTTGCTTTATTGACACGTCATATGCCTCAACCCCAATACTCCAAAGGTCTTTCAACTCTTCTATCAACGGTTGAAGGAAAATATCCAAACTCCTCCTAGGATGTTTAGGTCCCGGAACTAATATTGAGAGAAATAAAAATTCTCTATTCATACACATGTCCGGAGGTAAATTGTACGGTGTTAAAATCACCGGCCATAGAGAATAATTTGGACCAGACATCC